CTCTCTTTAAGGAAAAACGCAAAGCAGAAGAAGCCCTCAGTGACCTCAGACGTCAGTATGAAACAGAAGTAGGAGATCTGCAGGTGACCATAAAAAAGCTAAAAAAGGTAAATGTGTCAGCTAGACTTTCCAAACAGCCTCAGCATCCCCGTGCATGTGGTAACTAAAACCACATGGAATCATATTGAAGTGGTAGATTGAATTAGATTTCAGACTCAGATTGTAGTCTGTGAAAAGACTTTTTTTAAAAATGTATATTTATTTAATTTAATTTATTTATTTTAATTTGACCAGAGAGAGACAGAGAGAGAGGGAAAGTGAGAAAGCAAGCCTTCTGGTCCGGGACACAAATCTCAGTTGGTCACGTGGGAGTCCAGTACCTTAATTACCGCACCACCTGCTAGCCCCTGAAAAGACTTTAATGGCCCGTGAGTCACTCTTCTGTTTCCAAGGCTTCCTGTCTTCTGCATATATCTAATAGGGATTTCTGGCCCCTTGGACAGTTGTCCATCCATCTCTAGTGTGTTTTCCTTAATCTTCACTACCCGAGTGCCCTGGATGCAGTGGCTGCTTGCCCCATGATAGTGCTACTGCCACTCTTCACTGCGTGTCCCTGTATCATTGCCTTCAGCTTAGTGCAAGGGTGGTGGGCATTCCCTGAATATGTATTAAGTGAAATGAATATTGGCTCTTCTAGAAAATTCCAGATCCAGGGGAACCCCTGATCAGCAAGAGGTCAGAAAGAACTTGATGAAGTATGAACAAAGATGTGATTGGGTTTTAGCTTCTGCTTTATTTTGTTTCCTTATTATTTAAAATTTTTTTTTCTTTTTAGAATTATTTAATTTTACTTATTTTTTTACTATTGTTATTCAATTTGACCAGAGAGGGAGAGAGAGAGCGAGAAAGCAAGCCGCCAGGGCCGGAATTCAAACCATGGTTGCCTGTATGGGAGTCCAGTGCCTTAACCACCACACCATTTGCCATTCCCTCTGCTTCATTTCTAAGGAGCAGGATCCATTTCACTCAGTAATATGCTGACAGATATTTGGAATGAGGAACTGAGGGAACAGAGGGATTTGTAGCTGAGTTCCATGGTATACCCGTACCCACCATTACTGGTTTCATACCATACTTCCCTACTCTGCAAATGGTTGACATACCATTTGCAGAGTAGGGAAGTGATTATTACTGGTTTCAAGCTCCTAAATTGACATACCATTTGCAGAGTAGGGAAGTGATGTTTTGTCTCTCACCTGCCTGTACTTTGTTGGCCCCAGCGTGGGGCTGGAGTCACTTTCTGTATGTAGGTTGTTTCCATAACTAATGGAAGCATCCTAGCTAAAATGGAAGTGAATCATTAAAAGATAATCATCCCTTAAAGTGACAGTGAGGTTAATTGACATTTAACTGTATTGCATAGGCTACTGCAGTCAGAACCTCTGGGATGATTAAGTATTTCCCCCAATAGCCTTCTTAGAAAATTATCATCTATGTTAACCTGATACTTACTTTTCAGAATTCGTTAGACCATACCTACTATGCTTATATTACAGAACTGAAGGAACTAATCTTCTATTTATGCCAGAGTCATAGATTTTCTTAATTACTGTCCTTACTTATTTTTGTGACTCCCCAAATCTTTAGACTAAGAATCTATGCAAGAAGAGGCACAAGGTTTCTAGCCCCAATACTGCTTACAATAAATACCAAGTGGCATGCACAGAAAAGGCTATGTTCAGGCTGGATGAGACCTGAGACCTTGTGAAGACTGTACCAGCTTCACCTTTGTGACCTTCAGCTTCTAATCCATAAAATGAGGCTAATAACAAACTCTCCTGGTAAACTGTAGTAACTGATATTTTCTTAACTTCACAATTTATTTAGCTCTTTCTTTTCTTTCTTTCTTTTTTTTTTTGGAGAAGTTTTTGCTATAGGGCGCATGTGCGCACCAGAAAGAAAGAAAAACAGAGAGACAGAAAGTGAGAAATCACCCCCTCCCCCCGGGGAATGGCCACGCTACAATCCCCTCTCCTCCATTTCCCTCCTGGGATCCTGGGCAGGCACACATGTGTGCCCGGCGTGAGTTTAAGCCACCGCGTCCAGGACTTGAACCACGGTCGACCACATGGGAGTCCAGTGACATAGCCATTACGCTAACTGCTGGTCTCAGCTCTTTTTCATAATAAAAAAAATAAAAAAACCCCTTAATTCTCAGACTTTCTCTGAGGAAGATGTAAATGTCCCATTTATGTCCCATTTTTATAGACAGATTGAGTTTCAGAGATGTTAAATGATCCATCCAAAGTCACACAGCTGAGAACTGATGAGGCCGTCTCCCTACACAGTTTGTGCTTTCTCACGTCTCCCAGACTCCCTACCTGCCTGATATGTTGTTGGACAACACAATAAGATAATTTATGTGAGAGTACATTCAAGCCTACAGAATCATGTGAAAGTTTACAGATATGGGGTCAGCAGGTGATGTGATAATTAAGGCACTGGACTGCCACATGGTTGACTACAGTTTGAATCATAGACCTGGTAGCTTGAAACTCATGCTGGGTGCGTGTACATGCATGCCCAAAATCCCAAGAGGAGAATGGAGGAGAAGGGATAGTGGCATGGCTATCCCTCCTGGGGACTGATTTCTCACTTTATCTCTCTCTGTTTCTCTCTGTCTCTCCAGCGAGCACACATGCAAAAATCTCCCTCTCAAAAAAAGTTTATTACAGATATATTACATTGCCATTAACTTATACCACTAAGTCTGAGAAACTCCTTTTCCCACCAGTTTTAATTCTCTGAAGTCAGAACGCATTTTAAAATCAATGGCTCTTCTCAGCGACAGTCAGCCAGGGGCAGTCAAGATATAGTGTGTGATGGTATCAACAGAGGACTGATACCATCTGACAGAATGAAAGAAGTGCAGACTAAGAGGACTTTTAAACTCTGGGAAACATGGACTGCATTATGAACAATGTGTGAACAGTCCATAAACGGGCACCCACAAGTCCTCAGGATTCTCAAGGACGTTGCAGTTTGTAGAAAAGACGTTTTTGTTCTCTATGTTGTAAATGCTCCTGAATCAACTTAATCTGGTAATGCTAAGGCTAGTATATGTATTTATAGAACCATTTGCATATGGCTCTAGTTTCACGTCATACTTAGATTCTATTGCCCTTAATGTTTAATAAGCATTTTTAAACTCACCATAAATAAAATATAGAAGAATATAGATAAATTTCTTCTACTCTTAATTCTACTCTTAAAAATCCCTTCACTCTAATAGGGGATGTAAGACATTGATAAATAATTGTACAAGGTAGAAAGTGTTAAGATAACATAGAGGTCTGGACTCATATGCAGCATAGTATAGAAAGGAAGGATTGGGGTGCTTAACAGTTGAATGGTTTCCTAAAAGCACTTTTCAGTTATTCCCAAGAAATTTCATTTAAGAGCAAAACTTCTGGGCTGGTCCTGGTGGTTAAGGGAGCTGAATCCCACATGGCTGACCATGCAGTTTGAATCTCACCCCTGACAGCTTGAAAAACACACTGGACGCATGCATGTGTGTGTGTTCCCCAAATCTTGACAGGATGGAGAAACTTAGGAGAAGGGATTGCGGTATGACCATGCCTCATTGGGGGTGCTTTCTTCCTCTTCCTTTCTGTTTCTCTGGTGATTGTAGATGCCCTCTAACAAATCAAATCAGATAAGATAAATAAAAATAAAGCCTCTTTCTGAACATTTAAATTATAAAATAAATCTTCAAATCCTTATGGATTGTATGCAGTTCAGTGATTTATAAAGTGGTATTATGTTGAAAATTGAAGCCTTCTAGAAATCCCATATGCATATTCAAGGATATTCCTAAATTTGATCAAAGCAATGTAAAGTGAGTTTCAACACACAACTTTATTTGCTCTTCCAGCTAGAAGAACAATCAAAGCACGTAAGTCAAAAGGAAGATGTGGCCGCATTAAAGAAACAGATTTATGATTTGTCGATGGTAAGAATCAACTTTTCACTTGAAAAAAATCCATTTTCTGTTAGACTACATAAACATAACCATGCCATTATTTCAGTGTTCTAGGAACAGAAGTTTAAGGAGAAATTAACACTATAGTTAGAGAAAGTCTTTAAAACACCTTTGAGCAAAATAATATTAATGTAGGCTTTTTCCTCATCTACTACCATCTATTATGAAGGATTTTATCTTTCATTTTTTTATTTGAAATAATGAAAACATGCTTACACTTTACATGATAGAGTTAACTTTGCGTTCTTTTAACATTCACTCGTCAGTATCCCTGGCTTTGCAAGATAAGGATATTATTGCTCTGCTCTTTCTTCCCTTTCTTCCTTTCCTTTTTACATCTTCTGCTGTCCATAACTTTACATTTTTTTGTGGTCAGAATTGATAACATTTGCATCTGTTCTGTTGTTACGGTTTCCTTTATTTTGATTTTAGTTTGACTCCAAAATTTAAAAGCAAATAACTTTTTTTTTATTATGACTCTAAATATTTTCCATGTTGGAGCGAAGAAGTGAATCAAGATTGCATTTCTTTCTCTCCTGTACAACTCAAAAGAGAAGTTTCCCAGCTTCATAGTCCAATGAATTCCCTTTATATATCACCTGTTTCAAATTTTGCCACATCTTACCAGATCTAAAGAGCATGACATTGAATACCAATTTTGGATTCTTTAAATTTCAATTCTTATTGGTCTGTTTTTTTAATCTTGTTGCCCATTAGTCATTCTGGGTTTTTTTTTTTCATTGAGTTTCTCATTGAATTGCAAATTTTGCTTATTACTATTTTCCTCCTTCTTGTTTTCATCCTCATTTTGCTGTAGTACATCCTTAAAGAAGTTTTTCAGAAAGGGTATGTGATAGTTTTTTTCAATTTTTGAATATATAAGTATGTCTATATTCTTTTTACAGATTATTGAAACTTTGTCTAGATAAATAGGCTTTTCCTGGATTTATTTATTTATTTAGGTCTGTCTGGCTGCCTTTTCTTCTCCCTAATACCTTTGAGGATCTGTTCATATTTTAAAGTGAAGAATTAGCTTGATGATGTTAGATAGCTGATGCAAAATTCCTGTGACTAGGTAATAAACCAGTAAAATTTGTGTGCCCTCAGGCCTCTTCCCTGAGAGGTTGTCTTCTAGGAACTCTTGTGTGGAGCTGGTAGTTAGACTGTGGGACCCCAATTACCAGAATGAGCTGGGCAGGCATATTTAGAGAGAAGCTTTAGCTTTTCTATAGGAGGCATTCAGTTCAATCTCTGTCTTGTTGCCTTTAGAACCTGTTCTGGATATCTATTGACTTTTTTTGCTAGGGTGAAAGAAGGATGGACTTAGGGGTTGCCTTAATAAACAGTATTTGTTTCTATTTCAAGCCCCACTTCTCATTTCCAATTTTTGAGGTTTGACCTGGTCACTTGCCTCCCTCTATGTTCTATTACAGAGTTTCCAGCACTCTGCTCTGGACTGCCTTTTCCCCATTCTCTTCTCTAAGACAGCATATTTCCATCCAGATCCCACTTCTTAGAAATAAGTTTAAATCACTTGACTGGTCATGGGCACCTCTTCCATTCTTTTAATTTTGATATTTCATGTGAATGGGGTTTCAGGAGGCAAAAAAAGGCAGATCCACCATCTTAAACCAGAAGCCTCCAATGATTGTTATTGTTTCTGTTTGTTTGCTTGTTTTTATTTTTTAAAAATTTCCTTGGAGAAATTTCCTTGTAGAGTTGTCTCTTCAGTTCATTCCCTCTCCACCCACTTTTTCAAAAGGCTTTTGCCATAGGGCATGCTTATTTGTTGGGGGGAGGGGAAGGGGACAGAGAGAACCAAAGGAAGTGAGATATCACCTCTTCAAGGGGGAAGGTCATACTGCAATCCCTTCTCCTTCATTCTTCCTCCTAGGATTTTGGGCACACATACACATGGGCCCAATGCCATTTTTTTCAAGCCTCCCGGTCCAAGACTCAAACTGTGGTTGGACATGTGGGAATCCAGCAACCCAACTACTGTGCCACCTGCTGGCATAGGGGAAATGCCTCTTTCAAATTGGATTATTTATTTCTTAATAGGTGAATTGCTTAAGTTCCCCCTATATATTCTGGTTATTAATCCCTTCTCTGAAGAATAATGTGCAAATATTTTCTCCCATTCTTAGGGTTGTATTTTCAATCTAATTATTGTTTCCTTTGCTGTGAAGAAGTTTTTAAGCTTAATGTAATTCCATTTGTAAATTTTTCAGATTACTGCCTGTACTTTAGAGATCTGATTTAAGATATCTTTGCCTGCTCCAGTGTCTTAAAATTTTTTTCCCTCAGTTTTCTACTAGTGTTTTTATAGTTTGAGGCTTTACATTTAAATCTTTGGTCCATATTCAGCTTGTTAATAGTGAGAGATAGGGGTCCAGTTCCACTTTTCTTGCAGCACCACTTACTAAAAGACTTTCTTTTCTGCACAAAGAGAGCTACCATATGACCCAGTCATCTCACTGTTTGGTATTTACCTAAAGGATAGGAAAACACTCAGACAGAAAGATACTTACACATGTTTATTGCAGCATTAGTCACAGTTGCTAAAACATGTAATCAACCTAAGTGTCCAAAAACTGATCACTGAGTTAAAAAACTGTGGCATATATATACTATGGGATATTATTCAGCCGTAAGAGACAATGAGATCCTATCATTTGATTCAAAGTGGGTTAGTGTAGAGGACTTAATGTTAAGCAAAGTGAGTCAGACTTTGAAAGATACACACTGCATATCTTGACTCAATGTATACCAAATGTATGCACTCTGTGGCATAAATTCAAAGGTCCAAAGACATGATAGTAGAGAGGATAAGTGTAGACCCGGTGACTGTAAGGGAGGAGAGTGGGTAGGAGAGAGTGGGTGGTAGAGGGCGGGTGGGAGAAGCAAAGGGAAGCAACTTTATCAGAGAAAAGAATGTAAAGTCCTCTGTGGAAAAAAAAATGCTCTGTAATTTTCACTTCATGAAAGTAAAGATAAATTGAGTATTTAAAAATACAAAGAAAAAAGAAAGAAATTTCCTAGCCACATAGGTTTATTATTATTGAGTACAAAATGTAAAAATGTGAAGTGAGAAGACTTAGTTTAAAAAGTAGCCATTCTGCTTGGAACTTCTGTGGAACAGAAGTTTCACAGAGTGTTTATCAGTGGTTTTATAGCTCTCATTAAGTAATGCAGGTGTTCAAATGTTTGGTGTCAGTTAATTTGCCAATAACGTGTTAAAGTACATCATGATAAATTCTCAACTATTATAGTTTGGCACCAGATATCAAGTATGAAATAATGAACAACTTTGAGGATTTACTTTTTCAATACTTTAATCAATTATAATAGTTTCATATTACTTTGAATTGACGTTCTTTGAACAGAAAGATTTGAAGAACCACAGAAGGATGGGAGTGGTGTGTGGGAGGGTTTTATTGCATTCCACTTCATTTTTCCCAGGCAAAAGACATTCTGAACTTGATGACCTACACTGTTCTTTTTCTCTAGGAAAACCAGAAAGTTAAGAAAGATCTTTTAGAGGCACAGACAAGCATAGCCTTTCTTCAGAGTGAATTAGATGCCTTGAAAAGTGATTATGCTGATCAGAGTTTGAATGCTGAAAGGTATGAAACTTGGCATTTTACTTCTTTTAGTGGAATGTTCATCCAGACGATTATTCATGTGAGTGAAGCTCAGCTGTGGAATAAATAAAAAAGCAGTATTAACTTTGCAAAGATGTTCTTTACTTTCACTGTAGGACTTTTTGTATTTCTAATTTTTTAAAACACAATAATTAGTTTAATTATTGGGTACTTAGGACAGTGCAGAACTTCATAAATATTTGAATGAACTGAGAGCTAGAAGAATATATCTAAAGTGTCAAGAGTCAATCTTTCTAGTATTTTGCAGGTAGGAATCCTGATCATAAGACATAAGGAAGGGAAAAGTAGACATCTTAGGCCAGTCATTTTATTTTTCTGTGCCTTAGTTTTGCAGTATGGTATTAAAAACATGAGACCTAATACATATGCACACTTGTAAACCCGCACACACACACATTCTCTCAGACATGTATTTATGTGCCAGGGATATATGTATATATACCCACAGGGATATTTACATAGGGATATGTAAATATAAAATAGATATTCATATATGTGTGTATTCCCTTGTACCTCATTTTTTGTTTGCAAACTTGAATCAGAATTAAGTTCTTATAATGGAAAACAGTAAAGTATTTATTAAGGACTTAACTATATGTAGGTCCCTAATCTAAATAAGGGATTAGGAGTTTAGAACATATGAAAAAGAAAAGATGATTTTTGCTCTTTTGGAACATCAGATTTAGTCGAGAAAAATAAGCAAAAAGTTACAGAGTTAAAACAATATGAGAACCAAAGAATATCAGAAACAATACCACCAGCAGTGTCATGGTTTAGATTAATTGCCATGTGATCACAGAAAATGTTTTCTTTTAGGGACCAGCAGTTGGCGTAATGCTATGTTGCTGGACTCCCATTTTTAGTCAACTGTGGTTTGAGTCCCTGACCCCGTGGCTTAAAACTCATGCCGGGTGGGTTTACGTGTGTGCCCAAGATCCCCACAGGAGAATGGAGAAGGGATTGCAGCGTGACCATACCCCCTGGGGGGTGATTTCTTGCTTTCTCTGTCTTTCTGGTGAGCGCATGTGCCCTATAGCAAAAAGCTCTCAAAAAAAAAAGTTTTCTTTTAGTTCAGAAGAGGTGAAGAGCTTAGAGATGAGACACTTAAAATGAACTTAGGTGTAGGGTATAATAGATCTGTGTTAGTAAAGGAAAAGACAGCAGAGGTGGCACCATCAAAAACTAAAACAACATCAAGGGGTAGCACTGCTGTCTGCGAGGCTCTGCTCTTAGTTCTTCCTTGGTAGTAACTCATTCAGTCCACTGACGGCCCAGTGAGATAAGGACTTTCTTCATCTCCATCTACAAGTGGGAAAAGAGAGTCCCAGAGAGATCCAGGTGAGGGGATAACAAAAGCAATGGCAGGAACATAGGCGAGAAAAGACTGGTTTGGGAAAAGGTGGTCAGACCACTGGAGAAAAATATATTTCAAATGGAAAAGCAAAAGTTAAAAAAAAACATTTTAGATATTTATACAATGGACATTAAACGGTTTAAAACCTAGGTAAAGCTAAGAGCCTGTTATTTTTGCCTAAGGAACTTTTATTCCTATAGACAGTTGGGAAACTTCTAGCTTTATCATCAAGGGAGCCAAGGGGCAAGTTTCTGTAGATAAAACTCGACAGCCTAAGAGCTTTTGGAAGCTGGTAATGGGGTTTGTTTGCCTAAGAATGTGGTGGAGGGAGAATAGGGGCTGGTGGTGAGTGACAGCTGTTCTGAGTGTAGAGCAGAGGAAGCCAGTCTTCCATAGTAAAGCAACCAAGGGACTGCTGAGCCTGAGTGGTTCTCCAGTCAGCCCAAGAAGCCATGCTGTGTAGATTTCTTAGCATAGGAAGAGCAGGAGTAGGGAGTGAGGCAGGGGAAAGAGAAGGAATTACAAGAAAGGAGACAAGAGGTAGAGTTGGAATTACATGAGGTTTAGAAGGAGGAGAGACAGTTTAGAGGACTGAAGGCATTGTTTACTATGACTGCCTGGGAGCGGGTGCCCTGGAGCAGAGCCTGGTCATGAGGTTGAGGAGGAGAGAGCTGGTGGGGGCTGAGATGTGGTTGAGGAGGAGCTCCATGTTTACTGGGTCAGAAGTGGGGACCTCGCATAAGGAAGCCCAGACTTTGGGTATGTTCGTGGAGGATGCAGCTGATATCACGAGGAACAGAGCAGGACTATGGATAAGATAGAGAAGTGTGGTCAAGAGCACATATGTTTTGGAGAGTTTTTTTTTTTTTTTTTTCCCCTATAGGGCGCGTATGCTCGCCAGACAGAGAGAGACAGAGAGACGTAAAGCAAGAAATCACCCCCCGGGGGGATGGCCATGCCACAATCCCTTCTCCTCCATTCTCCTCTTGGGATCTTGGGCACGCATGCACACGCGCCCGGCGTGAGTTTTAAGCTACCAGGTCCGGGACGCAAACCGCGGTCGACTACATGGGAGTCCAGTGACATAGCCATTATGCTAACTGCTGGCCCAAGCACATATGTTTGAAAGAGGCAAAAAAGGTCTGGGAGGGTAGATTTAAGTCAGGCAGGTCTTGACACCTAATTCTCATTAAAAAGTAAAACATAATTTTACAGGGATCTGGAAATAATCCGAGAATACACAGAAGATCGAAATAGTCTTGAGAGGCAAATTGAAATACTCCAGTAAGTTCCATATAAAGCATTCATTATATTTACATTTTACTTATTTATTGTTAATCAAACACGTGCCATGTAAAACAGGAGTTGCTATTTGCTGAAGACGGGGTGTGCGAGTCACCGTGCATTTCCTCTCGCTGTGGTGCCTTCAGTATATCCACTCAACTTTCTGGTTCTTCTAGTCCTGAATAAATTATGCAGACTCCAGGAGTAGGGAACAGTTCTCTAAAAGTCTTTGCGAGTCAAGTGACACGCCTGGTTGTGTCTATATCATGCCTCCGTACTAATAGCCCTGGCCTCAGCTCTCTCTGCAACTCCATACCTTTAGTTTATGAGGCTTCTCATGTTCCTGACTACCATAAAACTGAGCCTCTGCAGTCATTCTTTCTCAATTTATTGTGCCTACTTAGAGGTGTATTTTTCTTAGTTTTTAATTTTTTTTACTTTTTCTAAAGTAGAAACATGATACCTACTCTGTCAACTGTTCTGAGGTACAGAATACCATCCTCTGAGGGTCTTCTCTAAAATCCTAGACCTCCCTATCCCTTTCTTTTTCTTCAACTCATGCTGTATTTTCCTCTGGTTTTAGTTGCCCAAGAGGTAGTAAGGTCAGATTTGACAATTTATTCTTTCGCCATTTCAAATATTTATTAGTCTCGACTATGGAAGTTATAGAGTTGACTGATTACAGTATTTCTATGAATTCATTCATTCACCATATTTTCCATCAACACTTTTGATGGATCAGATATGCCAAGAGCTAAGGATCGGATGGCATATAGGAGAAAAAGATATCCCTGTCCTTACAGGGCCAGTCTAGAAGACAGAAACCAATCAGTAATAATAGAAACAAACATAAGATGCCAACCGAGGGAGGTGAGGCAAAGGAGAGGTACATGCCCCATAGGAGGAGCTTTGATCTTTCCAAAAAGATCAAGAAAGTGTTCCTGAGGCCAGCAGGTGGCATGATGAGTAAGGTGCTGGATCCCACATGGCTAACTCCTCTGTGCAAATCCTGGACCTAGTGGCTTGAGAATCATGCTAGGCACCTGGGCATGGGTGCCCAAAGTCCCAAGAGAAGAGTGGAGAAGATGGGATTGCGGTGTGGCCATCCTTTCCCAAGGATGATTTCTTACTTTTCCTCTCCCTGGCAAGTGCATGTACTCTATGGAAAAATCTATTTGAAGAAAGAAAGATGAAAGAAAGAAAGAAAGAAAGAAAGAAAGAAAGAAAGAAAGAAAGAAAGAAAGAAAGAAAGAAAGAAAGAAAGAAAGAAAAGAAAGAAAGGAAAGAAAGGAAAGAAAGGAAAGAAAGGAAAGAAAGGAAAGAAAGGAAGAAAGAAAGAAAGAAAGAAAGAAAGAAAGAAAGAAAGAAATGAGAGAGGGAGGGAGGGAGGGAGGGAGGAAGGAAGGAAGGAAAATTAGTTCCTGGTGGAAATGGTGGTTGAGCTGAGGTGAAGCTGGAATGAACCCACTTTTAGCAGGGAAAGATGGGCCACTCTGCAAGGCAAGGGGACTTCTATTATCTTCATTCTGGGTGCTGGATTCTTGCCAGGTTAAAGGACTTCTGTTGCCATGCAGAAGTAAGTACAGAGCCCCCCTTATCCAAGGGGTTAAGTTCCAGGACTCACTCCCTGGGAGTGCCTGAATCTATGGGTAGTACGAAACCCTATGTATGTGTAGTATATATTTTCCTACACATGCATTACCTATGGTAAACTTTGTCTTAGAGGAAGGCACAGTAAGAGATTGATAGCAATAATTAATAATAAGATTGACCCATATATTTTAATAAAAGTTATATGAATGTGGTCTCTCTCTCAATAGTTTACTGTACTTTTCTCACCATTTTTTGAAACGCAATTGACCACAGATAAATGAAACTGTGGAAAGTGAGACTGTGGTTGAGGGGAGACTACTGGACCTGAGTTGGCATTTGAGCCCCGATCTGTCTGAGGTCAACATCCAAGTGTTCACCTGGCACATGACGGTTCCTGGAGAGATGGCACCAGACTGAGAACAGGCTGTAGTGGTAGCCTGGAGAACAAAGCCAGGCAGAACACCTGCTGCCCAGGCCTGGCCACCGGTATGCGCCAGCTTCAGGCATTCAGGGAGCAAAGACCTGGATGAAACGTTTTTAAATAGTGGATCCATCTGAGGGAAGATGAGCTCCACAGCACAGCCAATTCATGCCTAAAATGCCCCGAGACCTTATGGAAGATACCTGTTTGGTTGTTGTACTTTTCGAGTAATGAATGATCTCAGTTTATGAGGTTTGAAGGGAAGTAATAGAAAATTTCAAAAGGTGGTATTTCTACATTTTGAACATCACAGCCTGAAGAGAAAGTAGCCTTGCTGACCCCCACAAATGCTTTCTTTGTCCGTCTATTTGCTTATTTTTCACTTTGTAGAACAGCTAACCGGAAGCTGCATGACAGTAATGATGGTCTAAGGAGTGCTCTTGAAAACAGCTACAGCAAGTTGAACCGATCCTTGGTATGCCGTATGATGTTATGTATTGTATATTTTTTTTCTGGTGATAGAATATTTTAAAAGTGATGAAAATCATGTTATTCTTAGAAGAAATGATACATAGATCCCCATAATAACGAGAAACTCTTTTCATAAAATAAGAGAAGGCAATATGTTCCAATCTAGGAAATAGCCCCCTCTGTAGAAATACATGCCTCCCTGTTAACCAAGTCTTTTGTTCAATGTTCTATGAAACTTGAAAATGATGTAGAAGATCTGATTTTTGCTTTGGAAGAGTTTATAATGCAGTGGGAAATTAGGATGTGTACAGGCTGGTAGTAGTAATATAAAAGGAAAAGTAGAAAATACCATGGAGGGAAAACTGTATTGTCCATTTGAGAGGAGAAAGAGGGTGTTTCCCGTTGAGGGGGTGAGTTCAGACACAACGTGTAGTCTTTCTGATAGTGAGATTCTCAGAAAGAGAGGCCTTGGGTTTCAACTGTCCAACAGACACAAGCTTAGTGCATTTGCAATTGTGAGGGCCTCAGACTACAGGTGCCATAAAGCCTCTTAGCACACTTTTGGGATCCGTTTTAAGCAGATGATTCCACTGCCATATTTGGATAGGGAAGAGTTGATCATTAAGCCAGGTTATGGTTCAAGAAGACAAAAGTTCAAGGGAGCTGGTATTGCCAGTTCTGGCACATCTGGAGAGGCAGAGTACCCGTTATGGAATATACTGTATGGTTTGTAGTTAAGATACAGTGATAAAGAGAGAGTGCCATGGTCACTTATCTTGTCTGCAATTTTCCCTTGTTACTCCCATTTGCTCATGTGGGATACCATACTTTTAATTATGTTAGAAGTTAAATAGTGTGCTACAGTCCAAATGTGAGTGTTTGTGTGGGTGTTAAATGTTTGCATGGAATAACAAATAATTACTTAATGTATTACAGCGCATAAATAATGTATCACCAGGGAATACAATTTCTAGAAGCAGTCCCAAATTTAATGGTCACTCTCCTCAGCCTCTGGGCTATGACAGGTACGTTAACACTCTCGTTTGGGACCTGGATCCGAGTTAAAATAAATCTCCTTAGAGGAGAATTAAAATAATAGAATACCTTTCAGGCACTAATTTCTATTTTCTGTATCCATAGTTTAAAGTTCTGAAATGCAAGCCATGTGAAACACATGTTTGGGAGAGGAGGAAGTTATTTCCTTAGATGTTATGACCTGGTTTTATGTATGCTCACCATTACCTCATCCCTAATCATGTCTTGTTTCTTGGAAGCAGACTCAGAAAGAAATGTTTCAGGGAAA